TCACCACTTCACACCCCTACCACCTTTTCTTTTTAGTCTTTCTTCTTTTTTTAACCTGTATCTGTACTTTCCTTTCCTCTTTACCTGCTTCTATACCTTTACACCTGTATGGCACAACCACACAACTTTCCAACACTGCGTCAGACTCGACACACACACACACACACTCACACACGCTCACACACGCACACACACACACAAACACAAACACACACACACACACACACACACATATATTAAATTCACAGCACAATATCATAATTTATGCGTCAAATAATACAACCACAAACACTGTTGGATCTTTATTATTATTATTATTATTATTATTATTATTATTATTTACTTTTCTGTTATTTATTAACATACTATTTTATACATTTATATACTTTTTCCATCTTATTCACATGAAGGCATCATATTTTAGCTACTCACACACACATCAATGGATGCACTAAGGTTTGTCTCATGGAACGTACATGGAGCTGGCTCCATAGAGAAAAGATTAAAGATTTTTGATCAGTTAAAGAGAGTGCAAGCAGACGTAATATTGTTACAAGAAACTCATAGATCTGCCACATCCGCAGATGAATTTATTTTTAATTGGCTAGCTAAAAATTTACCTGATTTATTACTATTTTCAAAGTTTTCTATTCGTAGTCTTTGTGCAAAAAATTTTGTCTTTTTGTCAATAATTCCATGAAGTTCTAATTTAGCTTTACATAATTTGCACAGTAACTCTTCTTCTGTGGATGCCTCTAAAGACTTAATGATTTCCTCTAACTCCTGAATACGTTTGTTTTCTGTTTTTTTTCTATGTGATGAGAAAGAGATTATTTTACCTCTCATCACTGCCTTTCCTGCCTCCCAGAGAATAGGTGCTGATGTTCCAGGCAGGTCATTATGTTCTGAATATAAAGCCCACTCCTTTTTTAAAAAAAAAAAAATCAATAAATCCTTCATCTTTAAGCAGTGATGTATTAAACCTCCAGTTTTTGCTTGGTGGGATTGTCTTCTTATTTACCAGAGTTAATGAGACCGGAGCATGGTCGCTGACAACTATGGGGTGTATCTCAGTGTCAGTGCCAACAATGAGCTGCTGACTAGAAAATAATCCAAACGTGAATGAGAGTGATGGACGTGTGAGAAAAAAGTATATTCTCTACGGTTAGGATGAAGAGATCGCCATGCATCACAAAGCCCATAATCACTCATGTACTGTTTAACTATATTAGTGGATTGCCAATTGCGCTGAGTCCCAGCTGTACTGAGCCTGTCTGTTAAGGAGTTCATCCAAAATTTAAAATCGCCTCCAAGTATAAGTGGACAGTCCAAGTGTTCGGAGAGTACAGAGAAAAAATTATGAAAGAATGAAGGGTCAACAGTATATGCTGACAATACATAAGCTTTGGTTCTGTACAGATATTTTTAACATTATAAATCTACCCTCTGGATCAGAGACTGTGCCAATACTGTGAAATTGATGTTTTTGTGTATTAAAATAGCTACACCTCTTTGCCTAGAGTTATAGCAGGCAGAGAACATGCTGGGAAACTCAGGTGTTTTAATTTCATCTGCGGATGTGGCAGATCTATGAGTTTCTTGTAACAATATTACGTCTGCTTGCACTCTCTTTAGCTGATCAAAAATCTTTAATCTCTTCTCTATGGAGCCAGCTCCATGTACGTTCCATGAGACAAATCTTAGTGCACCCATAGATGTGTGTGTGAGTAGCTAAAATATGACGCCTTCATGTGAATAAGATGGAATAAGTATCTAAATGTATAAAATAGTATTTTAATAAATAACAGAAAAGTAAATAATAATAATAATAATAATAAAGATCCAACAGTGTTTGTGGTTGTATTATTTGACGCATAAATTATGATATTGTGCTGTGGATTTAATATGTGTGTGTGTGTGTGTGTGTGTGTGTGTGTGTGTGTGTGTGTGTGTGTGTGCTGAGTCTGACGCAGTGTTGGAAAGTTGTGTGGTTGTGCCATACAAGTTTAAAGGTACAGAAGCAAGCAGAGATGAAAGGAAAGAATTATACAGGTTAAAGAAGAAGAAAAAACTAAAAAGAAAAGGTGATAGTGGTGTGAGGTGGTGATGAACAGGTGATCTCATCTAGATATTACAAATGCAAATTAAAGGAGGAAGTGTGCCTGATATCTAAAGTTGAGTGATGGCCTTTCTTTAGTCAGTGTCTCAGACTGTCGCAACTAGCTGGAGACCCCAAACGGCAGAGTGAAATGTAGGTTTTAATAGGGATCATGCAGATTTCATATGTACAGGAGTTTTACAGGGCTTCTTATGTGTACATGAGTCATATGAGGGATATGATATAGTCGTGAACAATTTATAACAATCATAATACTGTCCTGTCAAATTTCCCGTTGCAATTTAGTCAAAATATTTTAAATATGTCTTGGTAGTTTTCTGTTGTTTGATTTGCTATTTAGCCTCCAACCCTCCTCCAAGCTGTCTCACATTTCTTGCACTGAGATGGGTTTAAGACTGGGACTGATTCGCAATTCTACCCATTCTGTTTTCAAAGAACAGCTTTCGGCAAAATCATGCTACCAAGTTGAAAATTCTGGCGATCCTGTGACTGAAGAATGTTTCGAGATATTTCTGAAACCCTTCAGCAAATATCCATGCGAATGTTCTCTAACAACTGAAATAATTCCAAGATCTGAGACAGTTTTGAAATCATGTTGAAGATAAAGACTTCATGTAATTCCTGAAGTATGAAGAACACAAAACAGATTTTTCACAATCTGATGTCATTCTCTCTTGCTGTCCTTTCTCAGTGCATTAAAGCTACACTCTGAAGATTTTGTCTATCCAACAGAACCATCTAGAGGCTTACAAATGTTTTGTATGTTAAGTTGTTCTCATCACTTCCGTATTCATGGCTGGAAGCAACTCCTGTCGTTCGTGAACATGCACCTCTGACATTGTTTTACAATTATTATTCTCACATTGTGCCATCTGTGTGTGTGTGTGTGTGTGTGTGTAAGTATATATATTTATTAATCTTATTATTATACTTTTGAAATTGTTATGGATTGTCCATAATGAACACCATGCTCAAGCATAAAGGTATTCATATGTGCTCTTGGCCCCAGGATACCTTAGGCTGGAGTTTGACAATTGACTTTGTTGTTATGTCATCTGATCCACGCTGCATGTCTTGAACACTCAGGTGGAGAGGGGCGGAGCTGTCAACTGACCGCTACCTGGTGGTGAGTTAGCTTCAGTGGTGGGGTAGGAAGCTGGTCAGACCTTGCAGGCCTAAACGTATTAGTGTTGGGATTGTCTGGCGGTGTCTTCTGTCACAAGGCGTTTCAATTTCAACCTCTAACATAATTTCAAACACATCCAAAGGGAAGGTAGTGGATATTGAGTCTGAGTGGGCCATGTACAGTGCTTCTATTGTCAGTGTGGCCCACAGAGCTGCGGCTACAGACTCGTCGGTGCCTGTCTTGGTGGCAGCCCCCAAACCCAATGGTGGGGTTAGGGATGCTGAGGAAAGAGTCCTATTGGTCTGTTTGGCCTGTGGGACACCAAAGGCAGCTGATAAATACCAGTGAAAGCACCATACCTTGTCAGATTGGCACACAGATATTGGAGCACATGCCAGCCTGATATGCCATAGATCTAGCACAGATGTTAGACTGACATAGTTTTAATCCTACCCTGCACCCTAATTCTTACCCTAACCCCAGTGACACCATACCAGTCAGGGGAGCATACCAACAGATAATGTGCATGCACCGCTCATGCGCATTATCTGCTGGTATGCTCCTCTGACTGGTATGATGCCCTGATAAACACCGGAAGTCCAAGTTGAATGCAGCCCAAGTGGTTGTGGAGGCAAAAACCTGAGTGTGGGAGGACTTGTGTGAAATCATAGAACAAGACTTCCATAGGTCTTCGAGGAGATTGTAGTCCACCATTCAGCACCTCAGGATGGGTTAGTAGGTGGGTAACTACATAATTTCCAAGTTCTGCTTTCTTTCCCTCATCTGTGATCATTTGACACGCCATTTCTGTTGCTTCAATAAATTTGTGATATGGTATATTTTTGGGTGTTATTGCAAAGTTTAATCCTTGTTTTAATAGGCTTTCTTCTGCTTCTGTTAGTCTGTATTGTGAAAGGTTACATACCCATGAGTTTTGTGTGGCATGATCTAGTTATTCTTTTTCCTTTTTCTTGTTGAGGAGTTTGGTTATCTTCTTTATGTGTCTTTCTTTTACTTTTATAAATTATTTTTCCTGTTCTATCATGTGTTTGATAGTTGGTCATTCCTTTTTAAGTCCAGGTGTCTTCTTTCCATTTTGTTTATCACTTGTTCTTGTTTGGTTGTGATGTTTCTTATCTTTTCTCTTTATGGTGCTTTCTGTGTTCCTTCCATTATGTGGTGTGCTGTTTTGTGTGTGTGTGTATATATATATATATATATATATATATATATATATATATATATATATATATATAACAGTACAAGGTAAGGCTAACTAAAAAAAATACTTCATACCTGAAAGGGGAAAAATTTGGATGATAGCTTTCAACTTCCAAACCAAACCAATCCATACTAATGAATCCCTAAGATTCATCATTGGTGAGAAATGCTTACATGCGAGCAATAATGTAATTGCATTTATATTCTGATAAAAGGTTGCCTAATAAATACAGCTATTCTACTAATCTGCTGAGTGAATTGGTGTATTACAGGAAGGATATAATTGGCTGAGGGAGGGAAGGAAATCCAATGCGGGTGTACCCCGTCTTCACTGCTGCACACACTAATTGGTAGTCTCTCCTTGGCCTAAAGGTAATGAAGCTGCTGGTAAAACAGACTTCAATATGGGAGGGGCTTTTTGTGTCTGAGCTGCAGCTCTAAAACGTCGTCTTCATCCAAAAGGAACACAGCAGGTCTAAAATTAAAGCTATGTCAGTGATGTGTCCGTCTGTCCGCCTGTTGGCTCACACTCACCCATTTCTTGAAAAAAGTATCCATTCTTGGACATCCTAGACGGAGGGGCCTCTGCAAGAGCAACAAAGAGAAAGAATCAATCACTGCAGGAAATCTGAGCCATAAAAGAACTAAAGACCCAGCAGGGAGCACTGGTTGTTGCAAATAACTACTAACTGTTTGCAATGAGAAAAGGCTGTAAATACACATTTACTTTATAATTATTTCAATTATTTATTACCATTGTTTAAGTGGAAATGGCCTCAGTAAGAAGCTATTCAATGTTCTTTATGCACTAAAAGCATATCAAGAATATCACATTAATATGAATTTTATTCTCAGATGCTGCTCCAGTGGGGACATTCTGAATTAATTTAATTAATTCCCAATACTAAGATTCCAGAGTTCTGCTGTTAAAAACATTTTAATTTTTTTTCCCTCCGAAACTGAACCACTCTAGTCCCTAAGAAACACTTTTACTGATTGCTTTGCAACGGATTTAACTGAAAGACATTCAAGAACATAATTATTTTCCTTTCAAGACATTATAGAAAACATTTTAATACCTGTTTAGTTTTGTATTCAGAGTCTTAGATTTATTGCTGTATAACGTCCTATTTCAGCTAAAAGCAAATAGAGCAAAACTGCAGGTTTTAATATTCAGTTCCAGAAATAATTCCTATTGTACGTTATAATTAAAATGTGCCATGAGGCTCCAGTGAGAACAGTCTAAAGCCCTGAAGTAACAGCAAACACAGGATGAAGACATGGCACCACGTGAATCACGTTGTGTCTATGGAGAAATCCATTTAGAATATCTATTGTTCTGAAAACAAAGAAATGTTTAAGCGAATATATTCAGACCTTTTCTATGTTACAATATATGGTCTATACAAAACATCGTTTAGAAGGTCTTTGCAGAAAATCCCTCTCACATGAAACAATTTCAGAAATTTTAGTCTTGACAGTTCCTTCCAGAATGAGCCGTTTCGGGGCTCTGTCACTTTAAGAAAACATGCCAAAGCTGGCCACGCCCACCCACTCATCCCCGCTAATAAGTTGAGAAGCTCCGATATCCAAGAAGGGCGCTGAGTAGAGCTGCTGCTCCTCCAACAGCAGCTCTCTTGTACCTGAGAGGTGGTTCTATTCTAATTTTCCTGTTTGTGACAGCACCAACGGGGACATTTTGAAACGGCTTGTTTTAGGCACATAATTCCAAAAACCAAACACAGACAGAAAATGTGTGGAAGTTAATTTTTTTCCATGTTTGGAGTGGTTATAATAGTATTAGAGACCCAAAAATATGTAAAAGGTGAGTTTTGCATAATATGTCCTCTATTTAAAACTTTGTTGACATTATGCTACCCTGCCAATGGAGCATTTGCCAGACTAAATAATATACTTATTTAGTCTGGCAAATGCTCCATTGATGGTTCTCGCTCGGGGGACGGGTTCTACCATTGTCTTTCAAATGATCTCTGCATGCTACTGAAACACAAACAACGCAATGTACTCACTGCAACCGGTGTAAGTAAACAAGGCAGTCTGTTGTTGAAGAAGGCAAAAATACATACTTTTTCTAAAAAAAAAAAGGACTTAAAACATCTGCTCCTGATTGTAATAAGTCCAAAATTGATGTAAAAGCCATTTCAAACAAGCTGTAGCCATCGTGATAGATAGCCGATAGAGTGCTGTTACTTGCCCACCATTGTGGACCGGTTTGAAACCCTGATAAAGACCTGTGATTAACCCACCAGAATGCTGCTAGGGGCCGAGGAGGATCCAATGGAGCATTCCTAGATGAATCTTTGCAAGGCAAGAATTTGGTCTAGTTCACTAGACTAAACACTTTCAAACCTTTTCATACTTTTAAATAATTTTCTTGAGCCAGTATGTGCTTTACAGGGTAAATGAAAGGCCACCCAGCCCCTATCACCCCCTGTGGCCAGAATTTTCCACTTGCAATTTCAGACTGACGGGCTGCTCTTTTGAGACTTAGAAAAATTGAGTTGGCATACCTGGTGTTTCAGTCTGCTTGCAATAGTTTCTTACATGTTTTAGATCATGAACACAGCTTTGTTAAATTGTTGAGGTTACATCTCTTCAGTATAATTCAGAGAAATTATTCTAAAGGTCAAAGAGACAAAGCAACTATTCTCTGCTACAGAAACAAAACACTGGTTTATGCAGCAAGATGCACAATGTTTTCAAAAAAGAGGAAGCTGCAAAGTTGCCACCACGAAGTCAGAAGTGGTTAGACTAGTTCACACTTCTCTGTGCTGTCTTTTTTCTGCTAAGCGTGTGTGGTTTCTATGCCTTGTATTGAACTATTAAACCGGTGCCCAGCATTCACATTAGAAAGGTAACATCTGGTCTACTCAACAGTTAATGTTAATCCCAAACCCAGAACATAGAAATAACAGCATCCATTTACTGGTACATGCATACATGTGCGTTTGTAAATGTACCAACAAAAGGAACACCGCATATAGCTACTTATTGTGGTTTTACATAATCTAAACTGTGCCTCAGTTTTTCAAGTGAGACACTGAGCTCTTTGATTATAACCTCAAACAGTGAGACACAAATCTGGGGCAATCTGTTGTCTGAAGGCCTTAGGCCTGGTTCACACGGCAAGATAATTACATCCATCCATCCATCCATTTTCATCCGCTTATACGGAGTTGGGTCGCGGGGGCAGTAGCCTAAGTCGAGAGGCCCAGACTTCCCTCTCCCCAGCCATTTGGGCCAGCTCCTCCAGGGGAATCCCAAGGCATTCCCTGGCCAGGTGAGAGACATAGTCCCTCCACCGTGTCCTGGGCCTACTTTTAGGTCTCCTCCCAGTTGGACATGCCTGGAAAACCTCAACAGGGAGGCGTCCAGGAGGCATCCTGACCAGATGCCCAAGCCAACTCAACTGGCTCCACTCAATGTTGAGGAACAGCGAATCTACTCTGAGCCCCTCCTGGATGACCGAGATTCTCACCCTATCTCTAAGGGAGAGCCCTACTCTGCAGAGAAAACTCAATTCGCTCACTTGTGTCCGCAATCTTGTTCTTTCGGTCATGACCCAAAGCTCATAACCATAGGTGAGGGCAGGAATGTAGATTGACCGGTAAATCGAAAGCTTCGCCTTCTGACTCAGCTCTCTCTTCACCACGACAGACTGGTACAATGCCCGCATCACTGCAGATGCAGCACCAATCCGCCTATCGATCTCACGCTCCAGTTTTCCTTCAGTCGTAAACAAGACCCGGAGATACTTAACTAAACTCCTCCACTTAGGGCAGGACCTCATCCCTGACCCGGAGAAGGCATTCTACCCTTTTCTGAATCAAGACCATGGTCTCAGATTTAGAGGAGCTGATTCTCATCCCAGCTGCTTCACACTTGGCTGCAAACTGCCCCAGCGAAAGCTAAAGATCACACTCAGATGAAGCCAACGAAACCACATCATCTGCAAAAAGCAGAGACCCGATCCTCAGGTCACCAAAACGGATGCCCTCAACACCTTGGTTGTACCAAGAAATCCTGTCCAAAAAAGTTATGAACAGAATCGGTGACAAACGGCAGCCTTGGCGGAGTCCAACTCTCACTGGGAACGAGCCCGACTTACTGCTGGCAATGTGGACCAAGCTCTGACACCGGTCATACAGGGACCTAACAGCCCATATCAGAGGACCTGGTATCCCATACTCCCAGAGTACCCCCCCCCCCCCCCCCAATAGGGCCCCCCAAGGGACGCGGTCAAATGCCCTCTCCAAATCCACAAAACACGTAGATTGGTTGGGCAAATTCCTACACACCCTCCAGGATCCCCCTAAGGGAATAGAGCTGGTCTAGTGTTCCACGCCCAGGACGAAAACCACATTGCTCCTCTTGAATCTGAGGTTCAACAATCCGACGGACCCTCCTCTCCAGAACCCCTGAATAGACCTTACCAGGGAGGCTCAGGAGTGTGATCCCCCTGTAGTTGTTCCCCCTTTTTAAATAAGGGAACCACCACCCCCGGTCTGCCAGTCCAGTTGGACTGCCCCCAGATGACCATGCAATATTTCAGAGCCGCATAAACCAACACAGCCCCACAACATTCAAAGCCTTAAGGAACTCCAGGTGGATCTCATCCACCTCTGGTGCCTTGCCACAGAGGGGCTGCTTTTTAACCACCTCAGTGACCTCAGCACCAGAGATTTCAGAGCCCAACTCAAAGTCCCTAGATTCTGCTTCCTCACTGGAAGATGTCTGGGATTGACGAGGTCTTCGAAGCACACCATCCCCACTATAAATAGGGTTGGTAGCACACTGCTTTCCCCTCCTGAGGCGCCGGATGGTGGACCAGAATCTCGTCAAAGCCATATGGAAGTCTTGCACCATGGTCTCACCGAAGTCTTCCCATGCCCGGGTTTTTGCCTTGGCGACCACCTGAGCCACATTCAGCTTGGACTGCCGGTATCCATCAGCTGCTGCTGCTGGAGTCCCATAGGCCAAAAAGACTTGATAGGACTCTTTCTTCAGCTTGACAGCATCCCTAACCACCGGTGTCGAACAGCGGGTTCTGGGGTTGCCGCCGCGACAGACACGACGATCCTGCGGCCACAGCTCCGGTCGGCCGGCTCAACAATGGAGGCACGGAACAGAGTCCATTCAGACTCAATGTCTGACTTGCAGCCACAGGTCAGATGAAACAACAACAAAGTCGATCATCGAGCTGTGGCCTAAGGTATCCTGGTGCCAAGAGCACATATGGATACCATTATGTCTGAGCATGGTGTTCATTATGGACAATACAAGATTAGCACAGAAGTCCAATCACAAAGCAATACTCAACTTCAGATCGGGGGGGGGGGGGGGGGGGGGGGGGGCGCTTCCTCCCATCCACACCTGTTTAGGTCTCACTGTTGTTGTCCATGTGAGTGTTAAAGTCCCCCGGCAGAATGAGGGAGTCACCAGAAGGAGCACTCTCCAGCACTATCTCCAAGGTGGGTAGTCTGTGGGTAGTCTGAACTGTAGGTTGGGTAGTCTGAATTGTAGTTTGGTTCATAAGCACAGACCACAGTCAGAACCTGTCCCCC